CTCGCGCAGCCGCACTCGGCGCGCCGACTCTGGGCTCCTCCTCCCGGCTCCGTAGTAAGCATGGCGGCGGCGGCATTCGTGGTCCCTCGGGTGAAACAGAAAGCGGGAGCTACGCGGAGAGGCAGCGAAGAGCGGGGCTGAGGCGGCGCCGTCACTGCCAGGAAACAACCCCAACAGCGCGCCGGCGGCCGCGACGGCCCCGAGAGCTGGCTCTGCCGCTGAGACAGAGAAAGATCAGGAGCCCGAAGAAGTAGGCGCCAGAGGAGCCGCCTTCCCCTGCCTCAGAACGGCGTGACTCGGAGGTGAGAGCACGGGCACTCCTTCCGCGAAAGGCGGGGGACACCGAGTCGTCTCAGCCCCGTTCCAGCTCCGTCCCGCCCCAGAGCGGGCGTCGCGGAAACCGTTAGTCTGGGGCTGAGAGCCGGGGCGCCGGGCAGGGCTTGGCCCGTCGAGCGGCCCGGCCCACCCACCCTGTGGGCGCGCAGTGGGCACAGAGGGAGCGAGGCCGGGGACAGTAGCCGTCAACTTGTCGGGCACCTGCCGGGGCCGAGTCTCTCCGGGACGCGCTTGCGGGGGCGCTATCCAACCGGAGGGAGGCGGCGCGGGGGCGCGGGCGGCCCGCTGAGAGGCGAGCAGCGCCGCTCCGGAGGGCTCGGGGGCGGGAGCGGAGCCCTCGGGAGAGGATCGCCCAGCGCCCGCCGCGCCTTCCTCTTTGGCCGCCCCGCAGCCGCCGAACTTGAACGCTTTTCTGAAGAGAGTTTCCCCTGCTCATCTTGGGGTTAAAACCTCGAAAACCCGCCCTTCTGTTCTTGATTCTGTGTGGCTGCAGCCAGTACCTGGCCGTTCCTCTCTCTGGGTGAGTTAACCACACCTGTTCAGTCGGGAGGTGGACTCGAGGCTGCAGCCCTCGCCCTGTTTAACAACCTGGATCTTTGAACTTTTGACACGGCTTTGGAAGGACGTCATGTGTTAGGTAAAGGAAAACGAACAAATAATTTCGTCGTCAGATCGCGAGCACAAGGGTGGCCGTTTTAATGAATGTGCTCGTTAATCGTTCCTTTATTAAACTGTTAGCATTAAAAGCTTCGGAATGTTTTAGGAGTGCGTGTGTAATGGTTGCTGGGGGTGCAAGGGATCGTGAATTAGAGATGTTCTTTCGTTAGGTTTTATGTAAGTTCTTTGGACACCTGTGTGTCTCACCATCTATGAACTAAGAATAACAGGCTGACCAAAAAAATTTTCTTTTTACAGTATAATCCCCATTATGTGTTCAATAAGGACTTTAAAAACCGAGCAGCATGATTATTTTGCTTCTTACTATGGTCTGTTTTTAGCTCTTGAAACCAAAGTATGTGTGTGTGTTTCAGTATTATAAGAATGAAATTACAGTTGAACTCTAATATTTTATCTCCATGCTCTTACAAGCACCAGTACTAAACATATGCCACTCAGGAGTTTGAGCCATATGTTAGGAAGAAACGAATTGAGTTTCGTGGCTCTGATCTTGTGTTTGGATGAATATTTAGTTTTTGTGTACTTGCTAAATCTGTAATCCTTGCCATCTTGTAAGTTTTGTTTAAATCACCTAAAAATGTTCAAGAGAAATGAGTCCCCTGCCTTTTTGATATTTTCTTGATTGAATTAATTTTTCTGAAGTAATGAGATAAAGTGCACACTGAGACAGATGGTTGGACCTAAGAAAAATCAGTGATAAGGATTTTTAATGCATCTTTTATAAAATATAACCTGTAATTTTGCTCTTAGCGTTTTAGCCCACTAACAATTCTTACTACACTGATAACACCAATTAGTGGGAAGAAGGGATGATGACTTGAGAGGAAAAAAATCCTGTTAAAATTTTTGTGTTGAATTTTATATTTAAAATGTTTAGCACATTAAGTTTTACTATATCTTCTTCTTTCCCTTCCTAGATCATCTCTCAATTTCTATGTGTAGGTTAACTGGAAAATTTTTTTATACCAAGCTGACCACCTTTAGCCACCTGTATGCTTCTGAATTAACTCCCTCTTTTTTTTTCCCTTTTCTCTGAATCTTTCGAATCATTGAATGTTCAGGAAAAATAAAGTCCTGGTTAACACTGGCCTCGGTCAAGCATAATTATAAGGTTAATTCACTCCTTCCAAATTAATGACATGCCTTTGAAAAAATAGATTCTAGGATTATCTGCTTTTGATGTCATGTTTGTCATCACTTCCTCTCTTCATGTGAGTAATTGAGAGCTGAAGTATTTTATTTTACCATGTATTTGATGATTACTTTCTACTTGTCAGATTTCTGCAATATAATAGCAAGCATATTTTATTACTAATTAAGATAAAATCTCTTCCTCTTTCCTGACCAGCCAGGCATGGGTAAGGGCTGAGAGGTTCTATAAAACCCAGGAAAAAAAGAGAATGCATGATTAAAATTTTCATTGTCTTTTGTAGCTTTACTTAGGTAAAGAAAATTTAATATGTAATTTGTCTATTGTTAATTTAGACTCATGGGTAATATTTGTGCTCATTTTAAAACATTTGTATATTTTTTATGTTCTTACGTCATATAAGGCTTGTGCACTTTATATTTTAAAAATACAGTTTGATGAAATAACTGAAAGGTTTTGTCGTTTTTTATTTTAAACATTCTTGGTGCATTTTTTCCATGAAAATGAGTCTAGATGGTGTCTTTAAGAGTGATGTAGGAATATGCACATGATTTCCAATTTTATTAGCCAAATAATTAAAAGATAAGTGATTGGTGTTTTTTTTTTTCTTTTCAGCAATCTCTAGCAGACTTCAAATAAATTCACAATACTGTAAATCCAAAGATTTAGAATACCGTACATGTCTATTACATTGAGCTTTTTTCTGCTTCAGTTTATCACATTGCAAAACAAGCAATATGGCCCCCATGTGTATCAATGTCAGGAGCTGCTTGTTAAAAGGAAATTAGTAGCCAGTAGTGATGAAAGGCAAATTTTGTTCTTTTACATGTATTGTGAGTTTTTATCATTTCCTTAATATTTTGGTCTCATTTTATTTCAGAGTATTATTCAATGAGTTTTGGGGTGTTTTTGTTGTTGTTGTTTTTTTAATCTCTTGATCCTATATTTTATCCTCCCACTGTTGTGGTTTTGCTTATCTTTCTAAGTTTGCAGTAGCTATGGTCTTCAATCAGGTCCTTTTATGGGTGTCATCTTTTGATATTTCTAATCACTTACCACCCATTGCCAATCCTCAGGTAATTTTTCTTTCTAAGATAGAGAAGTGCTCTTGGGTGATGGCATGTGCTCAGAGGATGATAATTAAAGTGAGGATACAAAAGCAGTGTGATGTGTTCCTTCAAGTAGTTTACAAACTAGTTAGGGATACTAGACTAATGCACAGGAAATCATTAGCAAAAAATATAAGATGGTGTTATTAAATTGTGTGGTACCAGCTGTAGTTTAAAGGATATCAAGGCCAGTGAGGGCTGAAACAATCCTGGAGGACATTTGGAGGAAGTTGACTTGAAATTTAGGAAGGATTTATTTAGATAGCAAAGGGAAAGACATTTTAAAAGAGAGTAACAGGCAGATTTGGAAGTAGTAGCAAGGAGACCAGTCTGAGAGCATCCAAGGACAAGTATTAGGAGGAAGAAAGAGAGGTTAGTTAGAGATTTTAGCAAAGCCCCAATGCATGGTCAGAAGAGGAATAGGCCGGGTTGGACAAATCATTTTGGCTGTTTCACTGAAAGAGCTATGTATCTACTTTGACATATTAATAGTTAAGCTTTATATATAATGGATAGTTTATATGTTTTTGTTTATACAGCTTAGATCAGGGATGTGCAAACTATTTTTGTAGAGTGCTTGAAAATAAGTATTTTAGGCCTGAAGGCCATTTACAGTCTCTATTGAATATTTTTTGTTTGTTTTTTGCAATCTTTTAAAAATGTAAAAATCTTTCTTAGCTCAAGGGACAAACAAAAACAAGCTTTCTGTGGGCTGAATTTGGCCTAGTTTGCTGACTCCTGGCTAACAATTGGCTAGGTAATTGTACATATGGCACATATTGTAAAGCGTCTTCTATCATTTTGTCTAGATGGTTGTTTGCTGTGTTTTATGACTATTATTTATATTTTTTCCTTATGTTATACTAAAAGTGAAGAAAATATGCAGAAAAAAGTACTACTGTGATTGTAATTTTGTTATTTTGTGGCCAAACTTCTAGCAAGAGCCTAGAACAGGTCTCAGAACTAGGAAGTAAAAGAAGAGAAGCCTTTGAGCCAGGCCTTACAGCAGTGAAAATAGCTACACAGTGGCTTGATTTAGAATTTGTGTAAGGTTAAGTATATCAACTGCCTGTTCTGGTTTTACATTTTTTGAAACTATAGCTGTCATTTTAGAAACCTTGGCTAGGCTGCTGGTGGCCTAAAAGTGACAACAGGGAAGCAGGCAATAAGGAACCTTGCTTTTAAAAGTAGTCTAGGATAAGTTAGTGAAGGGACAAACAGTTGAACATCCTGTGGTGGAAAGAGTAGCTGTGTTAGGGAACAGTCTAATAATTGATATTTACGTTGATGAGCTTGACTCATCAAGAAAAGGTTACATTATATGCTGATTAAGGCAGGAAAGAAAGACTTAGAAATCTCTTAAAAATATTTCCATTAGGATTATTTTAAAATAAGTTGTGGTGATTTAAAGGATAAGTATCAGTTATTTCAAAAATTCATTTACATGAAACATCTCTTGGAAGTTTCTAAATTTATAGATGTGTATTTCTAAGGCAATTTTATTTCCTTCAGCATGCAGCGTTTCACATACCATCTCCAGGTGAATAGCAGAGCCTTAGGTTATGGTTGTATGAGACAGTTGGCCAGCGATACTCTAGATACTCTACATTTTGTGGCATCAGGAGAGCAAGATTATAGCATAAGAGTAGTCTTTCTTTCATTCAGCAGACATTAGTAAATACATTCCATATATCCAGGTTAGTAGTAGGTGCTGGGAAAAGTAAAGATGTGTAAGATGGGGAGCTGCCTGGATAGAATCAGTGGTGTTTCCTTTTTCTTTTTAAAAGCATTAAAACCAACTAAATAAATAAAACCGCAAAATTTAACTTTTGCATCTTTATCTATTATCAGCATTTTCCATACTTTTTAAGTGTATACACTGTCTTAAGTGTTAAGGCAATGCAAACCTTTTGAACTAAATTTCAGCTTTCATAAAATGCTACCTAATAAAACTTTGACTTTTTATATTTTGCCTTAAGGAGAAATTAACAATTCACGTGCCTCTCCCCCCTTCTTTTTGTCAGTGCCT